TTTTATGCGTCTGAATGAGCCTATGAAAGCGTTGCCATGGAAACTGCTAGTGACGAAATGACACTTATTTTTGGATAACCAATGATTATGTAATTCAACCCCATAAAAGTTTTCAACTGGCCTTGGTCAGTCTTTCTGTTGTATTCTTTCAAAGTTACAAACCATCAAAAAGATGAAAACTGGTACGAGCCACCTTAAATTAAATATTCATTACTGAAAGGTGGTACATGTAGACTAAAAAAAGCATACAGTATTCATATGGTGCTCTTGGAAACTTCTGCCATCATTTGCCTGATACTTTCCAAGAAGCTTCAACTCACAAATAATACTCTCACTTATTACTTGATGTTCTTTATAAACTTCGCTGGGCTTAAAAAATGCTTTACCACGACCTTAAAAGGCAATGGTAAAACCAATAAGAATTTTAAATAATTGCAATTTTTTTGGCTTTGATGTGTGTGGAAGTAAACAAGACTTTCCTCCATAAGTTTACAATGAAACAAATAATTAGCTACGGTGAAATTATGAAACATTTAGAAAACCAAAATTAATTCAATTGAAATAAGAAACCCTGATCTTTCACTGGATTTGAAATTCCAAAAATTATCATCGTTAGTAGTGAAGTCTCGTACAGCATCATCTCTGGCATCAAAACTAGAATGAGAAGAATACACAAAGTGTGACAAATTATTTGATACACTTGAAAGACAATCAAATGGTGCCAAATCACATTGTCAAATGTATTTCCATGCAATTATAACTGTGATGATAAAAAACATAGACACTAGAAAGAGTTGTTAACCCTTTGATCCCAAGAGTGACCAGCTTCAAATTTCTCATAATACCACCCTTGACTTACACATTAAGGTCACAAGAATGAAGAAAATGGTATGCTCTGATGTAACAGAATCTAACATTCTGCTTATGCAAAGTTCCTAGATTATTTATCACAAATCAGCTGTCTGGTTGATTAATGACTGATATACCCACAACTATCAAATACCTAGTAATTTTTTTAAACCAAACTTGTCCTAGAAAAAGTATTGTTCTTACCATATTTCCTACACTAGGCACCTTTGCTGTAATAAGCCCCTGCCCCCTAGGCCATAAGGTCAAACAAGCTCCCCTCTCCTCCCTCACTTTCTTGAATATTAGGGATACAAGGAAAACCTGTTTCTATTGCCACTTTACTTATGCCTTTGTAAACTTCAACTGCAGTGGAATCAGTGCTAGAGAATAGTTTCCTTTCCATTAAAGTCACTTCCAGTTATTTCTATCTCTACATGCTAGCAGGGTTCCTTTATGTGCAATATCTTTTCTTTTAATTTTTTACCTATTGCTGTGCTTAATATACTGTAACTCCCCCCCCCTTGATTAAGTGTCCTTCCAATAAGCACCCATCCCATACGCCAAAATTTGCATGCTTATTCAAGAAAATACAGTTATTGATGTCGCAATTATTCTTACAGATTTTTCATATGCTCCATTGATAATTGAAGAGTGGACTGGTAAGGTTGTTATTTTGTTATGCTTGTACCTTGTTTGTTTTGAAGTAGTAGGAACCTGACATGGTTCGAGATCTGTTAGGTGAGGGAGCTTGAATCACAGCTCCTACTTTATCAGGAATATAGTTGCCTGACTTCCTGCCACTTGGGCACCAACTCCTGTAACAAATTAAACAGTTAGATACAACTGGTCAGAAGCATAATTATGTTCCCAACAGATAATATAAAAAGGATTGACAAATGACTTCTCACTGATAACAATGATAACTTGCCCTTAGCTGTCAAATTCACAACAGAGGGAAGCACTGTCATTATCAATGATAGTTTGACTGCCACCCAGTTAGCCCAATGGATAGTGCGCTGGACTGTTGTGCGGGAGGTCGAGGGTTTGAGCCCCGGCTGGACCAACACTCAAGGTCTTAAAATAATTGAGAAGAATTTTCTATCTTTCTATAACATCAAGAAATGGTTATATATTCTAGTCTTCTCGGATAGGGACAAATAAATGGAGGTCCCGTCTCCTGCAGGGCTGGGGTAGGAGACGTTAATTTCCCACACACGAGATTACTGTGTGATGGATGTCCTCCCCTGGGGTGGGATGGTGGGTTTGTATTTTTGTGAAGTCCGTAAGTTAGATAACTCATTGGGTTAATTACGTCACCTTCGTTAAATAAAGAATATTGTATTGTATTGTATAGTTTCATCGCAAATATCTACTCAATAGACACTTTCCACCTTGGGCCCTCACCCCCTCCAGGGATTAGATTGATTTGGCCAATACATTGTTTGCATTACTACAAGAAGAAAATAAAAAAAACAACAAAACAAAAAAATCTTGAATGAAAAGTAGCTTGATGATTCTAATAAACATAGCTCTTGCATCTTTTAATTTCAAAGTCTTCTGGGTCTTTGGACATCTTGTACTAGCCAAACCCCTCTTTGAGCCCATCTTCTTATGACAGGGTGTTTAATTTTCATAGTTACTGTATGATAAAGATGGTTGTTGACATTTTCTATTAAAGGTAATATTGTACATATGAAAATGTTTTACTTTTTGATAAATCCCCTTTCCTTTAGGTGACTTCCAATTAAAAAATGGCCAGAAAGAAAAAAATAACATCTTAGGTTACTCTTAACATTTTAAGGGTTTTGATTAAGTTGTCTGTAAAAGGTGACTGGCTGGCCAACTTGAATTTTTCTCCAATTTATTAAATAAAATATACCTCTGTATCAGTGTGGGAGGAGGTGGTCCTCTCCGTGGCTTCCCTTTCTTTTCCACCCATGCTTGATAACGCTCTGCACACTGAATGCTTCTCTCATACTTTTCCTCCTCTTCTTTCATGCTGTTATTGTTTTCTTCCCTTCTTTTTTTCTTGTATTCTTCTGTGAGCTTTTCATCTTTTTTCTTTTTCCTACAAGAATTAAAAAAAAGAACATTGCAAAGAACTCTTTAACATGACATCAAATTTATTTGATTTAACACTACAGAAAATAAAAATTAATATATAAAATACTTGAGTCTTGAGTAGAATAGTTTATGATTGTAAATTTATCAAAATTGATATAATTTTGCAACAAATTTCATAATTATTTCATTCAATGAATAATTTTACAATTATGAATAACATAAACAGACAAATCATTTTGCTTTCCATAAGTGTGTCATTGGTTATTCATTTGTGAGATTAAAAATGACACTCCAAAGAAAAGAACTACTAACAGCATCTGTGATGTCTCAATTTAGTGCCTGCTGTGCTTATTTACTTTTAGTACCTCAAGGGAAGGTGATTAATATTCAAAGCAGGGTGATTATTAGAGACAGGATGCTTATTTCTTTAATTTCTCAGAAACAGCAACATATGTGAAACAAAGCTTTGATGTTCATTTGAAAAGCTTAAAGGAGACTAGAAAACAGACTTGTTGCCCCCCCCCCCCTACATTCTTCCTAGCCTGCGAAGCAAGCACTGGGGGAAAGGAGGGGGGAATGGGGGAAGCGGAAAGTGCGGAGGGGAGAGGGAGGGCTTGCCACAGACCCCCACTAACCAACGAAATGCCCCCTATTTTCATCTCTATATCGTCTTGTCCAGGCCTGTGTCTTGTCTATGTCAATCAGCGCCCCTTAGAATTAACCAGTCAGAAAGCGCCGTTAACGAGAGCTCAGTGAACCATGGAAACTGTCAAAACAACAACTAAAACTTGCTCCATGTGAGTGAGAAATGTCAGACGACAAGGAGAATCTGGTATCAAAATCTAAGAGAGGGAGAAAGCCAAAAGTTAATCCAGAAGAAGTACTTTGCCGGTTTTGTGGAGTAGATTTAAGATTAAATTTGGAAGTGGCTTCAAGAGTTTTGTAAACATTTTTAATCAGAGTCAAAGGGAAGAATTTCAGTGTGTCTTCACCAATCGCCTTTGAACGGTCAGTTTTCACTTCAAAAATAAGTCGCACATATCTCAAATATGCCTTCCTTGTGCAAGAAAAGCAAGCAGTTTTTGCCAGTTTTATGAATTGTTGAATAAGGCTGCTTCTCCATGTCCGCATTCCCGTGATTCGAAATGAAAGTTCTCAACACTGACAGGAAAAAGTCCAGGTAGAAACAGCTTGTGTGTCCGCTACCCGGCACATGCAAAACCTACATCTAGCAGGTAAGCGTTGTTTGACTCGCCGACGAAAGGACAACCCTCAACTTCAGCGATGGATACAAATTTAAACATTGATGATTTGGAGCCAACATTCATAGGCTTTGCAACGTTGTGGTTAAAAGCAAGTTTGAGAATGAAGATGCCATTCTTATCAAGGCCCTGAGCTTGAACAAGTGGATGGCTGCCACAAATATTCTACTGCGACATCGACTCTTGGGGGCAGAACTTCTTGAAATCACCGTCGTCCACCATTTTCTTAAAGGTAGTCGTCAAGAAGACTGTTTAGTTCAAGGGTTGATTGACAACGTGTTGCTCTCAGCCAATGGGAATTTTTCGTCCATACGAGATGGGAAATTGCGTTGGTTAGTGGGGGTCTGTGGCAAGCCCTTCCTCTCCCCTCCGCACATTCCGCTCGCCTCAATCCCCCTCCTCTCCCCCAGGGCTTGCTTTGCAGGCTACAATCTTCCTGGCTAGAACAACCAGCCAAGCAACTGCCCCAAAATTTTAGAGATTTTCAAATTTTTTTCAATTAAAGGAACTGTATACTCACATCAACATAACAGTTGACAGACTGAGACAACGACAATAATTGTTTTTGTAGTGAAGTTGATCTCAGTGTACTGTACATGTATTTTAACATTGTTGTCAATGAAAAAGAATGGGGGTGCTAAATAAATATATCAACAAAAATAAATTTCAGAAGGGTGCTTTTTAGAGAAGGGGCACTTATTGAAACAAGGACACTAAACCAGATCTAAGGTAATTAAAAGTATAGTCTGTAAGGTTGTTGTCGATATCCATTAACAGCAGCAGACTTAACATGTGATAATTATATACATTGTTACTAACAGTAAAAGATCCAATTCCAAACCTAAGGAAATTTTTGAAAAAACAAGAGTCAACATTTTACAAATGAAAGAAACCAGACCAAAAAAAAAACCAAAAATTTTAAAGATCAATTTGCATGCTGACTCAGAGTAGAATAAATATCTTACCAGTTGTCAAATGCTTTTTGTGAATCCACAGTTTTCACCTTTTGTTCTTCTTCATTTTTCTTTTTCTTTTCAAAAACTTCTTCTTTCTTCTTATGATGTTTTTCTTTGAGCTCCTCATCTTTCTTTGCTTTCCAAGATTCGAAGTATTTTTTTGCATCTCTTGCTCTAAGATTTTGTTCTTTTTGCTTCTCCAGTTCTTTATTCATTGTTTCCTTTTTCTTAGCATTTTTTTCTTTGTTTACTTCTTGTTTCCTTTCGTTCCAAGATTCGAAAGCTCTCTTTGCCTACATTGTAAAAAATACAAAATGATAATTATAGAGATTTAGCCAAGCCCAAAAGCAGAACTTGCATTTTTTCCCCGGCACATCTTGAGGGCACAACACCATGCCCTGGCCAGGACTAGAACCCAGGTCATCCGACTCAGAGCCCAGTGCACTGACCACTGGACTACTGGACAAAGCCATGGCATTGGTGTGCCTGTGGTACAGTTGACCGCACATGCTAAAAGTAGCACCTTGTACGGATGCCCGTTCGGCCATAAGTCCAAATTTTTTTTTGCTTGATGGGTTACTACCATCATTTTCTATAATTATGGGGCTACGCTCTGCAAGCTCTGCTATAAAATAAAAAGAAAAGAGAAAAAAAGAGTGTGAAACACTGCTTTAACACATGACTTATTAGGTGATTTTCATTCATTCAGGCTTGAAAAACCATAAATATGACATTTACAGTATGCTGCTATTAAACTTGGAATTCAAGACAACAAAAATTTTTCAATATGATGTAAAAATTTACAAATTCATAACAGATTATTTCAGGAGAAAAATAGGAAATGGCACCATTGTGATAGTTACACTAACAGAGGAGTCAAGAAGGGACAGGGGTTTGGGTTGGGTCAGGCAAATTACACAACACACACCACCCTTGTTTTTTTCACTCCTCTGCGACTATTGCAATGGCAGTTAACTATTAGTTTATTAACTGAATGCCTGGAATAGTTGCATTGATTTCATAAACACGTAGCTATTTTTAATCAGTGTACACATAAACATGCAACTAGGTAGTTTAAATACAATAGCTCACATCCTTTTTACGTTGACGTTCTTCTTTTTCCTTCTCTTCAAGTTTTTTCTTCTCAGCAGACTGGATGGCCATTTGCTCCCTCAATCTTTCACTTTTCTTTGACTTCCACTCATCAAACACTGCCTGACGTATTGATTTTGTATCCATCAAACCACTGTGTGGTGAGCTCCTTGCACTTCCACTCTCACTCCAAAGCTCTGGACTGGTACCTCTCAAATTTGTCAATGACAAGGACCTCTTTGTTGTCAGGGTCTGACCATAACTGGCATCACTGGTTTCTGCCCAAACATCTGCTTGTGTTTCTCTAGGGTGTGGTGATCTTATCATTTGGCTGATAGTGTGATTAGCCTTTAATGGTCCAGATCTACCTCTTCCATCACCTAACATAAAACCATGAAGAGGTTTATCAACTACCTTACAGCTGTAAATTGTTACTTAGCTTTACATCAGTCAATGTTAGTAGGTTAGTCACTTGGTAATCACAAGTTTGGTGAGTGGGGATAGGGCAGTGGTAAGAGCACTCGCCTCCTACTGCTGTGGCCCAGGTTCGATTCCCAGACCTGGTCTCGCTTGTGGGCAGAATTTGTTGTTGGTTCTTGTCCTTGCTCCACAGGCTTTTCTCAGGGTCCTCCAATTTTCCTCCCTCCACAAAAACCAACATTCCAAATTTTAACTAATTTTGACGTGGAAACAGTGGACTGGAAGAGCCACCTTATAAAAATTCCACTACTAAAATTATCATTATAATTATTATTAATAAATTGCTTGAGTTGTCCATTTGGAATCAAACCCTGCAACTTGGGAATTTGTACTCTTGACCTCTTCCACAATGTCAATCTCTATCAAATGGTAAATTTAAATCATATATCTTTGTTTAAGACTTACAGCTGTATACTTAAGTCTTACAAAATAAGGTACCTGATTCAAAGTCTGATCCTCTTTTTGTTCTGGAGCTTCTTTCATTTTGGTTTCCAGTGATAATGTTTTCTTCTATTGGGACATGTTCTTCAAAAGTGTCTGTTATATCATATTGGACCCTATGTTGACCCATCCAAGAGCTGTTTTTAGCACTAACAGGTCTCTGTGGGGTGAGGCTCTTTTTTAGTTCCACTCTTTGAGCCCCTTTTTCTTTGGGTACAGATATGTCTTTCTCTGAAAATGAGTCATGCTTGGATTGCATTGTCTCTAGACTTGATGCCTTCTTCATTACAGGAGCACTATCTGGACGCTTAACATGCTTTGCATTTTGTTCTGACTCTTGATGAGTTTGTTTCATGCGACTGCGAGGTGAAGGTTTAGGTGGCACCCTTTCGAGTCTTTCTGAAGAGTCTGTCATAGCCCTTTTGTAACTATGCTCTTCCTCATGATGCTCTTTACTGTAATAACCTTTTCTGTTTAAATTAACTATTCCTGTATCATCTCCACTTTCAAATTCCTCAGAAGAATCTGACCTTGTTACTGAAATCAAAGGTTGACCTTTTACTTTATTTTTAACTTTCCCATGTCTTAAGTTTCCATCTTGTTCAATTTCTCTTCCATCGTTGTTTTCTGGAGAGAGTCTCTCATTCTCATAAGAGGTAGTTCGAATTTTGGGAATCTGAGGTCTTCCACCTTCATTTGTTTCCTCTAGGGTCTTTTTTCTTCTCAGAGGAACCACAGGTTTACTTTCTACTTTTCTAGATTCTTTGAATTCAGGGACTTCAATATCTCTCACTCTTCTGGTCTTTTCATCTTCCAACACAACAGAGTCCTGTTCAAATGATTTTAACTGTTGTTCTCTTGGGGACAAAGCTATCCTTGATCGTGGCACAGGCCTGGGTGAAACTACATTTGATGAAGAAGTCTTTTCTGTATGTTGCCGTAGTGAAGTTATTGGGGGCGGGACTGGGTATCTATCCTTTGTTTTCATTGTTTCGCTAGATTGTTTAACTGTATACAGGTCCCCACCTTCTTCATCTGATGACCGCTGTGTTGAAGTTACAGAATAACCTTCAAAGTGCGTCTTTTTTGCTGAAATAGTTGGACGAGATCTGGGGACAGGCCTAGGTTGCCCTGGAAAACGAAATTCAAGACAGCACTTGCAAAGCGGGTTTGAGTCAGAATTTAAAACATCCTAAAAAAAAGATGAATCATAAAAAAATTGTCGAGTGATCGACTCCTTTTCGAGTTTATGATGTAAATATGTGGATGCATACACTGTATCCAACCGAAAAAGTGCAATATTCAATGTTTTGCAATTGGGTAGCGCATGAAACGGCAATAAACTTACGTATACGTACCCTTGTCGTTTGATCTCTGTCTTTCCAGCGATGCTCCTTTTCCTACAGAGCTTTCCTTTTCTTCAGAGACCGATTCCCTGAAAAGTCCATCTAGGGAATCCCTAACAGGCCTTGAAGATGAGCGATTAACCCTTCCAAGGGAATTTTCCTCATCGGAATAATCTGAGTCACTCAGCTCATGATTGTGAAACGAAACGCGTTTTGTTGAACTTTGCTTGCCGGAGAAATCATCTTCGTTTTCGTGCAAATTTCCATCTTCCAAGAAGCCGTAAGTCACTTTTTGTTTAACCAATGGTCTTTTAGAAGCCATTTTCGCATACTGCTTTTAACAATTTCCAGCAAGGAATTCGACCGTTAACGACCGTAGTAGTCAAAACATTCAAATAACGCTTGGATCAGGTCGTTAGTATGCTTCCTTTGAATGCGAATAATGTAATCAGCACGTTCCTCGTGTTCATGAACGGCTGGAATCGCATCAAAATTTCAACAAACAGAAAGGAAGATAACGATGCTGATACCAAACTTCACACCACAATAACGAACGTTCGAATGTAACATACTGCGCATCATTCTGAGCATTTACATTTTCCATGGTTATTGCCATGCATCCAAGCCGTTAACAGGAAGGCCAGGATGCTCGGTGAGTTAGTGACGGAAACAAAAATAAGTTCACGTGCAGCATACTTAAAATGGATGAAACCAGTCAGAAAACTATCCCTAGACCAGCGTTTCAGTCAGAAGGAAGCTTTAAATGCTATGGTTTTGGTTTCAATGGCTTACGACAAATAACTGTAAACGCTGTAGACGTATATGAAAGCAGAGAAGTGGATATCGAGACTGATGGATCACATCCTTCCGCAGTACTAGCCCCTGTTCACTTAAATGTTGACTGTGTTAGTAGTATCGTGGCTTCCTGGTCGAGCATATTTTACCTTAAAGGTAACTTCCACGACTAGGTTTCATAAATTTGTACTCAGCCGTTTTATTAAAAACGGTGACATGAAAGCGATTTGCTGGTGCCCGGGACACTATTTAAACAATAACTGAATTATTATTATTCACCGAACTGGAGGTGGCGGTTAGATATTTACCGAGCTGCGAATTAGTGAGGTAAATATCCACCACTTCCATGGAAATTGAGGTGAATAATTGTTTTACAATGTACAACACAGAAATATTATCAATATATACCAACAGGTGAAAAATTATTTTTCTGCAAACTCTTTGGCTTGTTTGAAAGTGATTAGCAAGTATTATATCTAAGCAACTAAAGAGCCACAATTGGGTATGATGTTAGCCGGTTCTGGTTTCTTTGTGGTTTGCATAGACAGTTAAAACAATTATTTACTCTGGTGTCAGAGTTGTGGATGTTAATTACTAATCACCTCCACTTTGGTGAAGAATTATTAATTATTGTCCCAGTGATATTCTTTATAAAATTGTCTTCATTCGAAGAACTCGAGGAAAATGCAGTTTTCAGGCAATATAGTGAAGTTAAGTGCATTGCAGAAAGAGTTTATTCCGAGTGTAAGTGTGAGGTAACAAACTGTTTAACTAAGCTTTGAACTTGGCTATGTGGGGTATGCAAGCACTTAGGTGATTGCATTCTACATGGCTTACACATTGAAAATAAACTCATTTTTGATTCTTCTTTAAGTGTCCTTACTCTTTGTCCTAGAGAATGGAACTATCAGTAAGGTTGGATGGAATTCTAAAACAAAAATGTTTGGGGAAGAGGAAAATCTACTTCCTGATCATTTTGTTACAGATGCATGCTGTAGCTGGACACAACTAGCCTTTCTGACAAAAGATGGAGATTGCCTACAGTGGAGTGATTACACTAGACTTAATGAAGAATCAAAACCTGTGAAAGTCCATAGTAATGGCACAAAATTCAAAGCAGTTGGCTGCAGAGAGTCCAGCTGCATTGCATTATCAGGTACAGTTAGTTATTAAGCCTAGAAAGCTGCCTGACATGAACATTAATCTATAACATAAATAATGAATGACAATTGGTGTTATCCTCAGATTACAGTTTTAGATATGACACACAGTTTCATCAGTAATGCAAAGTGAGATACATTCAGTTTGGTAATAACCAGAGTTATTGCAAAATCAATATTTAACCCATTCATTACCAACTTCCAAATCAATTCTCCTAACCATCGCCCAGATATTTCACATAATTTTAGCTGAAAGAAAGTGGTCTTACATCAAACAGTATTCCAGAGTTAATATTTTGCTCCCTTCTCATCACCATTCTAGTCTGTTTGACAATGTACTGATATCGTCAGGAGAAATTGCTGTGGTCACTCTTGCTGTGAAAGAATAAATATTTACTTGATGACTAATTTCATTTGAAGAAGAAAACTGCAAGTTTTCCTTTTTTCATGTTAATTATCTTTTTGGTACCAGATGTTTTGATAAGCCTTGCCTAAATCTTACAGATACAATTTCTTTTAATCAAAGGAAATGGACAGGCTGGCTTCATATGCAGTGAACAAGTCCAAGATGGTTCTGTTGCAAAACCAGTTCCTGTATTTAAAGCAATAGACATAAATAAGGAGATAACATCAGTTGCTTGCGGAAAAGAGCATGCTCTGTTGTTGACTTCATCAGGAACTGTCTACAGTCTTGGAAGTGGAAGGTAAATATATGTAAATCTGACAATTCAAATAAAATTTCCTCCATTCAATACTGCACTCCAACTACTGTAAGTGCTCTGAACTGGTTTCAAGTAGATGTGAATGATTAGCCTGCGTAGCGGCCCTAGAGGGAGGGGGGAAGGGGATGGGGAGCCGAGCGGAGAGAGGCTGGGGGAGAGGAAAGGAAGGGCCTGCCAGGCAGCGACCCCGTGGATTCTTCGAAACTCCCACTGATTAATTATGCTTACCGTGTTTCGAATGTCAATTAACAACTGTCAAAACTATCCAATCACGAAGCGCCATTATAAGACGTACGCCAGTGAAGCATGGAAAATACTAAAAACAGCAGAGCACTGACCCATGGAAACTGTCAAAACACTGCTGCACGTGGATGAAAATGTCGGACGACAAGGAAAATTTCAAAGAAAAACCTAAGAGGGTGTGGCTATCATTTTAATTCCGATACAATGAATATATGAAGTTCATATATTTTGAACTGCGGTATTAGATACGTATGATGCATGATCCTCGCAGTAGAGAGCGCTATTTATGCAATAGCGAAAATCAGACCTGAAAAAACCCAGGCCTGTACGGGATTCGAACCACTGACCTCTGCGATACTAGTGCAACGCTCTACCAATTGAGCTAACAAGCCAACTGGGAGCAGGCCGTTAAGTTGATTCGTAATAAACGCGCGATCTAATTCCGTTTCGTTATTTTCATTTCCGGTTATTTCGTTACGTAATATCACATGAGTTATTCCCACATGCTTTAAGATTTTGAAGTCGCTTGTTACGTATGTTTTAGTGGCCTGGTATGGGTCGCTGTATTCCCAATCAGGGTAATACAGTTCTTTAACGTGCTTAAGGCACGTTTTTTATTAAAATAAGCCGCAAAGGTAACAGAGGGGTAGAAAGCCTAATATAGATATTCCGTTAACTTGCCGCTTTTGTGGAGATAACTTAAGAATCAAGTTAGGAACTGAGTTCAAAAGCCTTATTAATATCTTTAAAGCAAGTCAGAGAGGAGAATTCCAATATGTTATCGCGGACCGCCTTCGAGTTCTTGGATGTTACTTCGCAAAACAGCCAAATCTCTCCCAAATTGTTTGCCTTACCTATGCCTGAAAAATGAACACTTGCAAGTTATATGAACTCTTGGAAAAGGCTTCATGTCCATCTTCGGTTGAGAACTCGAGCTCTATTTCGCAATCAAAACGAAAATTCAGTACACCGACGGGAAAGAGTCCAGTAAGAAAGTGTTTACGCTTCAACTCACCAGCCTCGAAGGACAGCTTGCCATATGCTGAACGGAATGCAATGGTTTTCTTACTGTTCTTGTCTTTGCTTTTATTTAGAAAGAATACATACGTTTCAATATATTGGTCGTAAGTGTTATTTAGTAAACAGAGCACAAAAGTTGCTTCGCGAGCGACTCGAGATTCCGCTCGTATTGATCATATCATGCACATCAAGTATTCGAATTTTACTTTTTCTTACCTCAGGCCAGTTCAAGTTTGAATCGTGTGTGATTCATCAACTATCAGAGCAACTGTTCTGGACACAAATCCCTTTTCTTTATCTATAACACTTTCACGGCTCAGTGACAGTTATTTGATCTCGACCAATGAGAATTCTTCGACCATGAGAGATCAGATATTTCGAAGAATCCACGGGGTCGCTTGTAGGGCCTTCCTATCCTCTCCCCAAGCCTCACTCCGTTCGCCCTCCTATCCCTTCCGCTTGGCTCCTTACCCCTTCCCCCCTCCCTCTAAGGCCGCTACGCAGGCTAGTGAATGATAAATGAGCACCGCTGCAAAGGGTAGTTGAAAGGACACTAACTGCCATTTTACGATCTGATAGGTTCAGTGTTTATAACCGGGGTAGTGCCTCTATTAAGGTAATTTTCACCATGTAAGATATCGTTCTGACTTGAAAATAACGGAAAATGTGTCATTCAAAAGTGTTAGTTATTGTTCCACTATATCATGATTGTATATGAGTTTACCGACAAAACAGGCAGATCTATGTGAAATGCTTATTTTAATCGGACAAACAACGATTACATTATTTGAAGATTGTATTTTGAATTTCAGTACGGTTAATTAGAGTATTATTCTAAATGGTTATTTTGATACTTCCGTGTCCTGCGCACCTGATGCTTAAAAAATTTGAAAAGACGTGAAATGATTTCTGGCCTGCGTCCCAAAGGACGCAACAACGACGAACGTGACACAATCGATCGAAAATTATGTCTTTTTTGGGTAATTTAAAATCTAATAATAATGATAATGATAATGATAATAATAATAATAAGTGACTAAAGGAAGAAAATATCTATCGCCAAGGCGGAGTTAGAAAGGCTAAGAGAAAACAGAAAATTGACCAAGAAAGGGAAACGGAATAGATCAACCCTAGTTGAAGAATGTAAAGTAATCTCATCGGTTGAACTTGTCAACTACATGGAAAAGAAAAAATCGCAGCTGAGAAAGTTAAAGACAAAGTACCTTAGAGAAAAGAAACAACATGAAGCAAGATCACTGAACAACCAATTCAAGCAAGATGCAGGACAGGTTCATGCAAAGTTCACAGAGATGATGGATGATAGACAAGATCGCCCTACATACCAAAGAGTTGGCAAGAACATTAATCCTGATAGTAACACTAACACCTTCGAGAATATCGAATTAGCGAGCAGATTCTGGCAGAGCTTGTGGGAGACGAGAGGATCTGGTAACGAGACAACTGAATGGCTGCTGGATATGAAAGAAGCTATTGCTGAACAAGTACCAACTACCGTAGAACAAGAGTGGAATCTACAAACCCCACTGGCCGTCAAGTCTTTACTCAAGAAACGAAGCTTCAGCGCACCTGGCCCAGACAGATTGGTTAACTTCTGGTGGAAGCGCGCTAGTTCACTACATGAGGGGGTTACCCGTGCATTTGAATTCATCTCTAAATACAACGAAGACTTTCCACTATGGTTCTCGGAGGGTAAAACACGCTTAATACCTAAACCAGGAGACTTTTCAAGTGAAAACCAAAGACCCATAACCTGTCTGAATAACATCTATAAGTGGTTTACCTCATGCCTCCAGACCCCGTTGGATAAACACCTGAATGACTATGACCTTATGGAAGGCGAACAGAGGGAAGCGAAGTCTGGTTGTAGTAGAACGACTGACAACCTTATGATTGATAGGATGGCCACTCAGGACTGTCATCGAGGTAAACGCAATTTAAGCATGGCATGGCTTGATGTTCGGAAAGCGTATGATTCTGTTGATCATAACTGGTTGATTGAAATGATGGAAGTACACATGGTACCCGCCTGGATTGGTAAAGTGATAAAACACCTGAGCGCAAGCTGGAATACCAAGATCGTAGCGACTACAAAGCAAGGAAGAGAAATGTTTACCACCATCAGATTTCACAAGGGACTGCCTCAGGGCGACGCCCTATGTCCACGTCTTTTCACACTGTGCCTTAACCCTGTTGCGTGGATATTGAATGCTACAGAGGGATACAGACTGTCTAAGCCTTTATCAACTAGAATAACACACTTACTTTATGTAGACGATCTGAAAGTGTTTGCTGCCTCTGAAACTAAACTAAATCAGGTACTTCGATCAACCTGCACTGCAATGCAAGATATGGGACTTCACTGGAACCCAAAAAAGTGTAGCGTTATTCATGTGCGTAGAGGCAAACAAGTCCAAGATGCCAAAGACGCCAAACTCAACGAGACGTCAGTGGTCAAGAATCTCGAGTCAGGATCCAACTACAAGTTTCTGGTGATTAAAGAATCAGTTATGCAAGACGAGAAACAAGCACTCACAGAGGCTGCAAAGGTGTATTTCAGAAGACTATCCGTGATCTGGACGAGCCCACTATCTGATTTTAACCGCATCCTTGCTACAAACCAGTTTGCACTTCCAGCACTCACATACCTCATGTGGACCCAGCATTTGCCACTTGCTGAGTTGCGTGACATCGACAGACAAACAAGAAAGACCATCTGCGAAAACGGAGGGCGTCATCCACTTAGCTCCATAGCGGTGCTATATCTACCTAGGGAGAAAGGACGAGGACTATGAGCCATTGAGCAAGAGTATAAGCTGATCAAGATCAAAGCAGCAGTTAAACTCTATGAAAGTCTAGACCCCAAGATGAAATCTGTGCAACAGTTTGAAGAATGTGCTGTAGTCAAGGGATTCTCCTCTCTTATCACTGACTCGAGGAATTTTGCACAAGAACTGGATACAACTCTGAACTTGAATACCACTGAACCATCATGTTGCCCAACAGAAGAACCAGAGATAACGACCAAAGATCTGCACATCAAGAAGCATATAAAGAAAGTTGTAAATGAGAAACTAGTCAAAAAAGTCGAAGATCAACAGTGGCAAGGAAGCCTTTTAAAAGCAAGATGGCAAGATGATCAACTGAGCCAAAACCGGTAACAGGCTTCAAGAAGCAGCACAAGACACCCTGATGCTGAGGTTAGGCAAAGTTTTTGGCCAGGAAAAGGGGACTCTTTTATTCACGTCTCAACAAAAGTGGAAAAATAAGGGAGACCGCTCCATTTGTGAGCTTGGATTAAAGTCAACTTAAGTCACCTGGTGAAGCTTTGCAAATTAGTGGAAAATAATGAAGTCAGTTGCACTTATTTGCTTACCTATAACTTCAAGTTTTTCCAACCTCCTAAGCCTCAGAGTCAAAACTTCGTTTTTTTGTTTTTTTTTTAGCCGTGGACAGCTCGGTCGTGGATTGATAGTTGAAGAGCAAAGTTCAGAAGTTGTTCCAGCTCTGGAAGGAATCAAAATGCAATTTATAGCAGCAGGTGGCTGGCATTCAGCTGCAATAAGTGGTGAGAGAATTAAAGAAGCCAAATATCCAATTGCAATATCCAAAGTACATTTTCCAATGTTTGTTGTATAGTCAACAGAGAAAGGAAAAATAATATTACTTCCCTCCTGTTACTAGCTTTGACATTGATTGGCCTTATTGGGTTGAATTAGTGTTTTTCTGAAAAGTGTGTCACTCTTTGTTTGGTTTTCTAATTTTTTCTGTCAATTAAAAAAAGTACACCAAATTCCAGTGCTGAAGATCTTTTCCAAGTTCCTTATTGTTGGCCAGCAATTTCAACTCACAATTGTACTGCATTACGCATGAGCCTGCTAATGCGAGACTCCACGGTTAACAAAATTTCAACAGTTTTCTTTCCTCTAGTATGTTTTGATGGATTATGAATAAGCAAATCTGACAGTGGTAACTGCTTTTTTTTAAGCATAGTATATTTTCTTAAGTTTGATTTTCTACTTAATTTGTGTTGCTGTCAGAATTTGGTGACCTTTACATGTGGGGATGGAATGAGAAGGGACAGCTGGGTTTGGCTGTTGATCTCGATGACACACTGTCGTCAACTGGTGGCCAGGTTCAATGTCAGACAGTACCAGTACCTGTCAGCTTTCCAGATGATTTAGAGGTACTGATGGTTAGTTGTGGATCAAGGCACACTGCGGCAATTCTTGGTAGGTGGAGTGGGGGAAAGAATGACTAAGAGCTTTGTGGATAGAATTGAAGGGGAGGGTTTTAACACAAGTTGTTCTTCAGGCATCTGAGCTCAGAGATTTCTCTAGCTACTAGGTAGAATTTTCCAATTAAATTTCAGTGTTCACTAATGTTGTTTGAATATTTTGCTTATAGGTGATGGGAGTGTTTGGACGTGGGGTTGGGGTAAGTTTGTATGAATTTTTGCTGTTTATGTAAAATCATTTATATAACTGTGTACTGTTTTTGTTAAAAAATTACTATAATTTTTTACTGTTGGGATAGATTGTTCATTCATTAGGATGCTCGGGAAATGCCGCAATATAGAAAGATACATAGCTCATACTACAGTGTTTCTTTGTTGAAGTGGATTTGGTTCATGACAGTTTTGATTGCCCTTTAAGACTGCATGGGAAAACTGTAATTTAAACCACTTTGAAGTCGAAACTAGTGGCTAATCCACTATCTGCAAATGCCCTCTTAGGAAAAATGGGAAGAATCATCCTAACCTTGCTTCTGTTATGCTTTAGAAACCGTCAATATTGATTTTATGGACACAAATCCAGTGACTTGGTGCAATCCCATATCTGTATCTTGAAGATGACCTTAATGAAATCTATTTTTATGTGCCTATCAAGCCACTAAAGGATTGGTAGTTTGATTGACCCAGTTTACAATTCAAATTTCCTTTTGCAGTGAAAGGAACTCCATCCTTAGATGACATACGTGTTTTTATTTAACGACCTCAGTCCTGGAAAAAATAACATTAATGAATTGGTAGAAACAGGGCGGATAGGCGTTTGAGTGATTTTAATCAACATTTTGCACAAGATTTTTATTAATTTGCTTGAACATTCCGTTCAATTCCTGATAACTTTCACCTCGCAAGACTTATTCAATTATCGTTGGCCAGGACCACGTAATCGTGGTAGTGACATAAATTTGTTATATTCCAGGCTACTATGGCCAACTCGGACACGGTGACCAAGCGGACAGATCTGCGCCGACGCAAGTCGCAGCCTTTTTTCCATTGAAGCTCAAACCCAAAACGCTCTATTGTGGCACTTGGTCGACGTTTTTGATGATTTCAAAATGATCTGCGACGTGTTAAGATAATGTCAGTTTGGAAGGTCACTGGAAAACACCTTTAATTAAATACGCGGTTTTCCAGAATCGTGCTGATACTATGGAACAGCATTATCATGAAGGATCAGCTGGGATGTTCGCCTGAGCTGTGAAAACCAAAACCAAAGTAACCACCAATCAGAGGAGAGGAAAATAAAGAAAGGGCTCAGTTGAAAACTCAGAGGAAAACAGGCAAACTCAATCCTTGAAGCGCGGGAGAGCACGAGTGACCAAACCGCTATTGGTTTCAGTTTTGAATCTGGCTGGCTGAGAGGATGTCGCAACTCGTTTGTGGACCAATGACACGGCGAAGTGCTGTGAAGTGCTGCAGAATCAAAGCAAAATCAAAGCAAAACCAGATTGCTTTTAACGCTCGACTGAAATTTTCTTGGTAGGGTTATTACAATACAGTATGATCGCCCTGCAGAGAGAGAGAGTGCTGGAAAGAATCGTTCAAGTTGCTGAAAGTTAGAACGAGTGGCCTTTTGTTTGTTTACTTCGTCAGTAGACTTTTAAATATGTAGTTGGAAACAGTTACGCCAATTTTTTTGGGACGTTATTGGCTGGAAGGATCAAGAACCATGGTTCTGTTCATCGGTTTTGTGCCTTCTTTTTGGAAGGTTTTCGCTCATCCTGATCGTATGCTGACCAGGTGCACGTTTCCCAATCGACCCGAAACCTTCTCGAGCACCAAAATCGTCCGTCATTACAAGATGTATACAATGTGTGTTTTTTGGATTTGCGCGTTTTCGCATACCTGTGATACAAAATTTTTGTGTTACCGACATAAAAAAAAAAAAATCATCTCACATGTAGTTTACATAACGATTGCAAGCGAACGCGATACTACATGCGTTCGATAGATGCGTGTAGACGAGAGTGTGTAAACACGATTATGACCCTCTACGTTCGCACGTATTTTTGTGATTATGTCATACATACAATATGGAAGACGATTCCCCCGTGTAAATTAGGGACTTTAAGATACAAGAACGCAGACGTCATCGGAAACGCCGTAGCTGCGTCCGGCCTGTTTCGAAGATGCCGTGTTTGTGGCGAGAAAAATAAGTTAAAATGGCGGGATTCAGCGACGCGGCCGTTCATTGATAGAAAATAAAAGTAGCGAATTTGTTCTTCTTTCCGAAGTAACAGAAAATAATTATAATTATAGTGTTTTTAGTGTAAATGGCGACTTTTAAAGAAACACGAGAAAGCTTGCTGGTTAGCTATACCTGTGGTACCGAACTGAGCGTTTATCCACCGAAAAAACAGGATCTTTAATGCTGTTTAGGGTATCCGCCTTTCTTTGTCACAAGGCACTTCGCTGAACGGATTTCTTCTTTGCACTATGTTGCCAAGTGTGTGAACAATTATAAACCCGCTACTCTGTAGGAACTGCCTAATGTAGCAAACATTTTGCCGACAGAGGCACTTGTTTGGCAATCAAACAGTCGTTTACATGTTTCTGTCAACTTGTTTTGTTGTCTTTTCTTTGAAAATCTCAATTTCTGCGGGAAATAGTTGTGAATTAAATACCGCGAAAAGAAGCGTAGTGCGAGTAACCAAGATCTCTAAACATATTTAAACATACTGGGAAAATCTTCGGCATGAAGGAAATAATCGGGAACAGCATTGCTTTTATACAACAAATCGTTTTGTTTCTTTAGCCGTAATTCACTGAACAAAGAATGCAAAAATCTACTCACTGCGGTTTGGAATTCGACACCATGGCAACTTAGTGATGTTTCTTGTGTTTACGGTTCGCAAGTTCAACTGAGCATGAAAAGAGATGACAAAAAAAGAAAAACATTGCGAATGCAGCCGGGATAATGAAGCTTTCAACATACAAAGAAAAAAGTGTCAATTCACTGTCTTAAGTGAGTCAAAATAGGTCGAGACACTTACAGTTTGTCAACAACGTCAAAATGGTCTTAGGCGCGTTCGTCTCGTGCAAATACAAAGACGCAGCTTGTTAAGCCAGGATCATGCGCAGTGGTAGTCATTTTTGGGTATTTTTACTTCTGGTCGGCTTTCGTCAAGTCTGCGTCGTTTTATCATCTAAACACTTAAAGAGAATTCTCAGAATGTATGCAAACCCTAAACTGCGTCATAACCATAACGTGTTTAATCCTCTACCCTCCTTTGTATTTAACGCTCGAAACGTCAGCTTTACTAATCGTTACGGTGGCTAATTTACCATTTCAACTTTGTTGATATATCAAAATTACGCCTTTGTATTTAGGCGAGGCTCTGTAGACACGCGAGAATTCCTTCTAATACGGCATTTCAAGATAGATCCCAAAGTGTTTTAGTAGCCTCCCCTTTGAAACCTCTCTGAAGTATTTAGCTATTAGCTACCTTTAATCTTAGGAGTTTGGAGGAACCGTCAGAAACAACTTTATTATGAAAAAGAGACAATTCATGATCGATTAAAAGTTGAGCTGCCAGAGCAATATTTACTGTTTTTGGATTCAAGTTTGTAACTATAATTGTATTTATAATTGCTCTTAAGCCGTGGTTAGCAATAAATCTGAGTAATTCAAGCAAATGAAACAAAACTCAAATAGGTAAATTGAGTTCGTTTTCAATTTTCTTAAATTCTTTAAAACTCATGCAAACAGACAAAAGCAGGCAATGAGTTTGTTTGTTTTCTGTCGTAATGGTTTGGAGTAAGTAAGCTGTTTGACATCACACAAATGCTTTTATCTACGAATGAGGCCTAGCGCGATGTATTACGCGGCTGCAAAATTATAAAGCTTGTTGCAAAGTTACTAAAGGCTTTCCTGCACTTCCAATCCTTTGCGCAACACTGCGTAATTAAGTGCTAATAAGTGGACAATGGTACTTCTCTCGACGGGCCGTGAACAAGCGCGTGCGCAGTTTCGGACTCGCTCCAGTTCTTTAAGTCGGTTCTCTTGAACGGCCAGTTGCTTTGCAGTCACCATTTCAGCAGTGAGCTGGGGTGGATTGTCAAGCTTGCGGAGCCGTCTTGGTACTCTAGCTGAAAGCACAACTGTGTCATTATGTTCACCATCAGTGAGAACTTTAAAAGCGATGGCGCTTTTAGTTTGGCTAAGAAGGATTGAGTGAACGGAATCTAGGGGTTTCGATGGCATTTTGTCAGAGCTGGGAGATGGCTCGCTCGATGCAAACTTTTCTCCAACTAGTAATTCATTGTTAACCACCGTTTTGTTACATTTCTTTTCTTTGGTGAATGTTTCTACTTGTAGCCCTTCTGTATGTAACTTTCCTTTGGTCAACCGCTTAGTAATAAGCTGTTTTTTAAGTAGCGTTTCCTTAGCTAGCTTTTCTTGGGTAGGTTTTTCCATAACTAGCTTTTCTGTACACAGTATTTGTTTTGCCCTTTTTTGCCTACACGACTTCGCTCTGGGTTTGATTTTTGGAGCAAAATTTTTGTTAGCTATCACCTCTCCAGTTGACTTACTTCTAGCCACCTTTTTGGTCTTCCGTTTTTTAACTTGCCCTTCTTCCTTAGCTATTACCCTAGGCATTTCCTTTACTTTTTTAATGGTGATTGTTGAGCGATGGATAATGGGTAGCAAGTTGCATCCTTTAGCCGGAGTTCGTTTCATCTCCTTTGCGTGCGGGTCCTTCTTTGCTCCTGTCTCGGCCTTTGATTCAGAGCAGTTGTCTGTACACTTTTTGGTGTCTCTAGAAGTCTTTACCATCTGTAAGAATGGTAGACGGGCGAGGTCCGCTGTTGGGACAGCTGTCTTCTTAGGTTTAGATTTTGATCGTGTCTTTATATTCCGTTTGTTTGTGCTTCTGAGAGCTTTGATCGTGGTTTTTTCATGTTCCTCAAATATTTTCTTAATAGGACTACGCAACTGCACCTCCGTCGGGTGGCCAGCGAATTTAGTTGCTCGCTTTCGGTTTTGTAAACCTCTACCAGAAGAAGATTTAATCCTGTTGCTTGACTTCTTGAACTTCGACAACAATGAACCACACATTGCGACGTCGAAAACAATGCTACACGCATCGTTAAATTTCCCGAAATACTTGAAAATCAGGGGTAGTAACCACAATTGCACAATAAATAGTTTCGCTCCTAGTACTCCTCTCTGCAGCTGCTCTCTCGAGTATTTTATTGAAATTTGTGAAATGCTGCTATAAAGACGCAGAGGACAATATGGATCAGAAGTTTAAACACAATCGAGACTAGAAAAAAATACAGAGGCCAGAATAACCACCAGGATTATCTATCAATCTAGTCGCACTGTAAGAAGAATACCTACCACTCAAACTTATAATTAGGTCTAACTAGATAACCGATTTTGAAACAGTTTTCGAGCGGGAACATTTTAAAACGGTCTAAAATGAAGAGTTTTTGTTGGAATTTTGCCTAATATCTATCGTCAAGTAGAATTCTTGAAGAAAATCAAGAAATCTGCCTTGTATTCAAGATATTTATTTCGGCGGTTCATTGCACGTTCTCGATAATTTCGCCTTGCATTATCACTAACCAGCTAAGAAAATACCGAATACAAAGTATATTTTAAAATGGAAGTGTGCTCGGTAGCCGGTGATTGTAGCGAAATCGTTAAGTCAGAGTCACTTTTTTTGGCTTTTTGCTGTGCAGCGAACGTAGCGAGCGAGCAGTATCATAATCAGGATTTGAAAAGAATATAGGGGATGCGTATTGTCGAATTCATCACTTTTACCAGAATGCATTGCAGCTTTTAACCAGAGTGCACTGCGCCACGATTGTTGTGCCACGATTGTGCTGTACTGCGCTACATAGCGTCACTACTGTAAGGACATTTCGTATATGTACCCAATCGTGTTGTAAATTTACTTTACTAAGTAAAGGCGAATTAACTGATAGCAATATTGCATGGTCAATCTATTATATTGATCACTGAATGAAGGACAGTTGAACAAGAGCGATGGAAGGAGTCACTTGCGTGAGATGACAGGCCGGTAAGCCAGAAAGCAACTTGCAGTCGATAGTGAGGAGGTGTTGATAAGCCTGTGCGACTCCTGCCATTCGTTAGCGCTATTTTGCCTTCAAAGTTGAGCTCTCGTTAGGATATCTCTTAACCCTTCCTTTGCGGTCTGATAATAAGGGTTAGTTTTAAGATGTCATTTCCACATCTGTATGTTCTTGAGGTTTGGCAAAGCGGATGAGACTGTTTTAGTTTAAGTTTAATAATGCTTTGTCATTCTAATACAAGTAAATAAAATTACAGAAAATACAAAAAGTGCATGACTGGAGACTAATTCAGTGGGGGAAACTAAATCCCCCAACGAAGAATATTCTCCAATATTAAACATACTAAATATTAAGAAGTAAAATTTAAATGCGGCCTAAATCTAACCTTATCAAGTTGCATACTAAAATTGACACTAAAAATTAAGAAGTAAAATTTGAATAAGGCCCAAAGATAATCTAATTGAATTGCATACTTGTCACTCACGAGCTACACCTGATTTAAAATTGACACAAATTGTCTAATAGATAGGATTTAAAACTGCTTAGCGAAGGTGCATGCATAATGTTCGATGGAATACTATTCCAGTCTGTTACGTAGGGATTGAAAAATGAAAATTTAAAGTAATTTGTACGTGTCATTTTAGGTCTTATCTGTTAATTATGGTTCCTACGCGTTTTCGCAAATACAATAAAATCAAAAACATATGAGGATCTATGTCACGGAGTCCGAAAATAATCTTTACATCTGCACTGAGCAGATAAACTTCCTTCGTAACTCAAGCGAAGGCGCTTTCAGGACCCCAAGTCTTTCCTGATATTCTTTCTCTGATCCGCAAATGACTCGAGTGGCTTGCCTCTGTATCGACTCCATACTTTTGATGTGCTTCACTTAATACAGATTCGAGACCTGACAACCATATTCCAAAATTGGACGCACTAAGGTTTTATATGCTGTCAAGACTCCTTCAGAACTGTTTGGACCAAAGGTTCGCTCTATCAAATTTAAACCTAGAACCGGCTTATTAGCTTTAGCACACATAAAGTTTATATGGTAATCCCAAGACAGGGAAGACTTCAGCCAGACGCCAAGGTGCTTGTGGTGATCTACTGCTGATAAGGGTTTGTCAGACAACTAGTACTCATGACGATCAGTCATCTAGGTAGGTGTAGGACCTTGCACTTT